ATCTAAAATATCGCTAGTCCGTGACCGGACACATTGTGTATGAATATATACGAAGAACCTCTCCGCCTCCTTCACATATACCTATGTGAAGGAGGCGAGAGAGGTGTATCAGGATCGTGCCAAACGGGAGTGTTTATGTATGTATATACAAACTGATTTATTTATTAGGAAATACATTTTCGTTAATACATTTAACTTGTGTAGTAAATTATATTTATTTAAAAATAGATTATTTTTCTCTTTATGAACTATGATGGCAACACTTGGTATTTGACGAAAATATTCAGAAAGCACGAGTTTTAATGATAATATTACTGTAATATTATTTTAAAAGTACTACCAGATGAAGTCACGTTGTCCTTTCGTAGATTTGACGTTTTTGACTGTTTTTGCATGTAAATAAAACAAATAGCAAATACACTGCAATTCGGCATTTTGTCGGAGCTCTATTTATTGGCACGATCACTTGCAGTATGACGCACGAGTTTTTTTTTTACGCCCGAAGCAATTAAAGGGCTACCCTATACGTAGGGAGGCGGAAAATGCATTACGCATACCACGATAGCCGGTCTATCGTGGTTATGAGGGGCTCACTGTCCTACCGGGGACCCTAAGTGATACCCTCTAAAAACCGCCTTTGGGGACAGGCAGCCGGCTGATTAAGCTGTATTGTGCCTTATCGTGAGCGACCCTCTTTTGGGAAAAGAGGGCGCAGGCGGCTAAGAGCCGCTGAGGGAGTGCCTACGAAGGCAAATTAATGTTAGTTACTACAATAATTTAATTTAATTAGAGTTGGCCTGAGCCGCCAGGAGACAGTTCAGGTCGTTTGACAGTTTATTAGGCGGGTCCGAGAGAGAGTTTCTCGGCCTGCGGACACGATAGTGAGAGGGGGGTGGGACTGCATAAGAAGCTGCCTCACGAATTAATTGGTTTGGGTGCGACTCTGAGGCTTTGAAGAAGTTCTCAGAGAGTTTTTTAAGAAATTGTTGAATTGTTGGGAGCTCTAAGTCCCGATGAAGGTCGGCATTACGGACGTACCAAGGTGCGTTCGCAGCTCGACGACAGAAGAGGTTCTGAACTATTTGGAGTTCATTTATAATATTAGGGTTTGCGTGGGCAAAGACGGGGCCCGCGTAGGACATGACTGGTCGTATACAGACCTTGTAAAGGGTACGCTTGTTTTGGAGGGACATTTTACTGTGTCGGCCCAACATACTGTTGATCCTACTCAGATAAAACCGTGCGTGACGGGTTACTCTTTTGACGTGGGGCCTGAAGGTGAGCCCTGTGTCCAGAGTGACACCTAAATATTTGGCGGTCGTATGCCAGGGGACAGGGGTCCCTAGCATACGTGTTGGTGGAGTATTTTTGAGACGGCGTCGTTTATAGTCGAAGTGAACGGCGGAGCTCTTCTCCGGGTTCACATCGATGCGCCATTTTTTGAACCAAGCTCCTAGGTCATCAACTGACTTTTGGATCTTGTTCCGTATGAAGGGCAGCGAGACACCTTTGCAGTATATAGCAGTGTCGTCTGCGAAGAGGGAGAGCTAAACACCTTTCGACGGGATGGGAATGTCGTTGGTGAACAGGATGTACAGCAGAGGAGCAAGTACTGAGCCCTGTGGGACACCAGCCTTGATAGTTCGTTGTGAGGATAGCGTGCCTTCGTGTCTAAAGCGAAAGGTACGATACTCTAGGTAAGAGGCCACGAGACGTACTAGGCGATCGGGGAGACCTATTTTGTATAGTTTGTAGATAAGGCCTGTATGCAAGACCCTATCGAAAGCTTTGGCTATGTCGAAAAAGACCGCGATGGTCTTATGACGACGAGGATAGAAACCGCTGAGGATATATTCCACAATGCGGTGAACTTGTTGGGGACATGAGTGTTGGGCTCGAAACCCGAATTGATGGGGAATGATGAGAGGGTCACCGTCTGTGGGAAACAGATAGCGCCTCATACGTGATTGGATGACTCTTTCGAAGAGCTTGCCCATTGCCTTGAGGAGGCTAATGGGGCGATGACTGGAGGGGAGGTTAAGAGGCTTGCCTGGCTTGGGAATTCCAATCACAGTTGCCTCTTTCCACGTAGTGGGAAAGTAGCTAAGGTTGAAGCAGGCGTTGAAGATAATAGATAAAAAGGTTAACACCTGCTCAGGAAAGTGTTTTAGGGCTTGGTTGGAGATGCCATCCGCGCCCGGATCCTTTTTCGGCTTAAGTCCTTTGATGAGGGATGAAATCTCATCATTGGACACAGAGATAGGTTCGGAGGCCGTAGGGGGTGAGTTCCGACGGCGGACCTCATCCTCCACTGTCTGGACGTGTGAGGGGTCGACGGGTTGAGAGCTAGGAGAGCATTGTGCGGCAATGCTATCTGCAAAGCACTCAGCCTTTTCCTCATCCTCGAAGGCAACCGTGCCGTTGGGACGGGAGAGAGGGGGAGTGTGGGTGATAGCGTCTATGCGGAAGGCTCTGGCTTTCTGATAGTACGCTGTATGGGATGGAGAGATATTCTCCATGAGTTTACTCTTTTCGAGGTCTCGAAATTCAGAGAGGCGGAAACGGAGTTCTCGTTGAAGACGATTGGCCGCGCGCCTATATTCGGGGGTGGGATATTTTGCTGCTCTCCGGAAAGCAGCTTTTTTGGCTTTTAATAGGTTGCTAATATGTAGGGGAAGGCCACTATTGTTAGCAACCGGGACGACCCTTTCGTTCTCCTTAAGGGAGGATTTAATAAGGGTGGAGAGTGAATCGACCGCGGTGTCGATTTTTTCGGGACTGACTAAGTCCGACGGTAGGGAGATGGTAGAGTCCTGTGAGTCCAGAGCTTTAGCTAAGGACTCCTTGAATCCTTTCCAGTTGGTGTAGGTTTTCGTGTGTGTTGGGGGAGGTGGCTGATGGCCAAGAATGAGGGAGACCGGTCGGTGATCGGATCCTAGATCGTCTAGTGTCTCGATTGCTCTGAGGTTGAGAGAAACTCCTTGGAGTAACGCAAAATCTAGTACATCGGGGGCGTGATCGGTGTTATCGGGAAAGTGAGTAACACCGAGGGGACTATGGACGGTAATATCAAGAGACTGCGTGATATCGAGCAGTATCTTGCCATTAGGGGACGTAGTACGGCTTGTCCATTCAGTATGCTTGGAGTTAAAATCTCCAAACATAATGACTGAATTGCCTAAAGATAAAATGGCCTCAAAATCTTTTTTTGAGGGGATGGGTTCCTGAAGGGATGTAACAGGAGGCTATGAGGATGGACTGATGTCCAGTCATAGCTAGCCTGCATACCGTGGCTTCCATGTTGGTAAGCTGCGGAGCAGAAAAGGGCGAGCAATGAAGTTTCTTCTTGTAATAGATGGCCGTTCCGCCTCCTCGGCGGTCGGGTCTGTCGTTACGAAGAAGAGAGAAATTTTTAATAGAAAGGCCTTTAGCGTCTTTGGTTTTGAGATTAGTTTCCTGTAGGAGGAGGAAATCGACTTCACGATTCCGAAGAAAGAGCTTAAGCTTGGGAGGAGGCGAAGGGATAAACCCTTAGGTTTGATACGACCGTGTGATTTTGGTAGATTAATTTGATTAATTTGCACTGACATTGAAGTTAAGTTAATTAAGTTAACTTAACTTACAACGCTAACAGGAGATTATTGTGTTCTGCAAGAACGAGGAGCCGTTCTTGGGGGGACTTCGCAGCGCGCAGTTTGCGTGCTACTACCGTTATTTCCCTAACATCGATATTCCTAATAGCGGAATATAGTGTGTTGTAGTCGTCAGGTGTGGGCTCTGCTTCGTGTGCGTACGAGGTTGTCCGCGGTGAGGGGGCCTAGGGGGACCCTAAGAGGGTCGAGAGAAGCCCTGGATGGGCTGAGAAAGGCCCTAACGGGGCCGTTGTTGGAGGGCCGGGAAGGAGCGGTCATTCACCGGCGGTGGAGCTTGCCTACTGGGGCGAGGTTGAGGTGTGTGTGGGCAACCCCTGTAGTTAGCATGACGCACGAGACGGAGCAACTAGTTTTATATGACTGGCATGAGTCGAACTCTCGTACCTTTTACAGAGGGGTAATTGTACCGCAGGATTCTATTTTTACTGCAGCTTTTTTTAATACCCTTTGTAATCCATTGTAGCTTTGCTTTTGTATTTATTCTGACTTTACAGACAGGAAAACAAAGTTTATAAAGTAAACAGAACCAGTCATGGAATTAATTGAATGCTGCATTTGGTTCTTCCTCACTATATACTTCTGAGAATGAAATACATGCCAGGTATGATTTGAATTTTTCAATATTTTCAGTAGAATAGTATCTCTTATAAATATGTATTACTTTTGGTGGTACATTTTTTAACTTTGTGTTAAAACTAAGCACCTGGACAGTGTCATGGTCTGACAACCAAAGTGGCAGAACAGTCCCACTTGCACCTTTTATGTTACTGAATATATGGTCGATACATGACAGTCTTCTAGTAGGCACCGTTATATCGTCGTTGCGCGTGCAATACCGCGGAAGAGCAGTTTGTAAATACCGCGTAACAGCAAAAAGTGCAAAATTGAAATTTCGCGGCTACAGACCCTTAGCGCTGATTCGCTTATACTACTTCTCACACAATTTGAATTAGCCAATAAGAAACGTCATATTTCAATCAAAACAATACCGCGTAACAGTACTTGCGTTTGAAGTTGGCTGAAATTCCGCGTATTTACGAAATGGGCGAACAAATTGAAACACGATTAGTGCGTGCTCTCGAAAATAATTATTTTGTAGTGAATAATAACCACGTAAGTACGTTTTTATTCTTTATAGTGTTTAGTTTTTAATGTATTTATGCTTGAATAGAGTAATTAAGTACAATTCTTTAGTATTTTTGTGATTGTGAGTAATAATAACCTGTAACACGTAGTTAAGTGGTATTGATACTACATTATACTAGTTGTGTTTATCATTTACGCGGTATTGCATTATATTAAATTTATGTTTTTTTTTAGATACAAATAATTTGAAGTAACCGAATAATGATGGAGGACGGAGAAAATGAAGAGTTATTTTTAGAGAATGTTGATATTAACGATGACGTGGTAACTTTAAGAGATCTATTTGAAAGGCGAAAAATATTGTTGCGAAAAAAGAAGGAAATATTGAATAAACAATATTATGCAAATAAACTTGCTGCAGAAAATCAGCAACAAGAACTAGTTTCCGTTCCTTTGTCAGGGGAATTAGAGCAAGAACCTCCGAACCAAAATTTGACATCCGAATTGACTACGCTTACAACAATATTGGATACTACTTCAACACAGAATAGAGATGAGAATATTACTTCTATTGATGTAAACATTAATATAGTGGAGCCTAATAAAAATGACCTTGAATTTTCGTCCAATGATTCAGTCACTGATCCTTCATTTGTCGCCCTCTCAGACATAACAAATTTAAAGCCTCTATCACCAGCAAATACGGAGTGGTTTCCCGAAAGGGAAATAGAAAATACGGCGAAGAAAAATGGAAGAAAGCGGAAAGGGAATCCTAATAACTGGAAAAGAATAATAAATAAGCGGCAAAGGATGATGGGCGAGGAATACATTGGATTTAAAAAAGATGGCACTAAATTCGTTCAAAATGATCCTAAACCCGCCAGAATAATGGGTCCAATATGTATGTCGAAGAGATGTTTCAGTGGTAAAGCTATGTATTGCCCAAAGCTAACAGAAGAAGTGTGGTCAGAAATTTTTAAAACCTATTGGAAAATGAGTTGGCATGAAAAGAAAATGTATATAGCTTCAATGGTGGATAAGACACCTACAACTAGAAAAACTAAGAACTCAAATTCAAGGCGCAGTGACACCAAAGTTTACTATTTAAAAGTAAACGATAAAAAGGAAAGAGTTTGCTTAAAAACATTTTTGGAAACATTGGGCATAAAAGAATGGACAGTTCGATATTGGCTAGGAGAGAAGACGACCATCGACAATGAATCTGAACCAAGTGCTGTAGTAGCCACAGAAACAAAAAAAGAATCAGCCAGAAAATACTTGATGGCGCTACCGAAACTACCGTCTCATTACTGTAGACAATCTACTTCAAAGCTATATTTAGAACCCATCATACAAACAAAATCACAATTGTATCGTCTATATGTAGACTACTCAGTTTCGCGAAATGAACCTGTGGCCTCTAGGAAGGTATTTGAAGGGGTTTTATACGAAGAGAACATCAGTCTATTTCAACCAAAGAAAGACGCATGCGACCAGTGCTGCGCTCACAAAGCAAGTAACATGTCAGATGAACAGTATATAAAACATATTGAGCTAAAAGACTTAGCTAGAATTTGAAAAAACCCTTGACAAAGAAGCAGCACGGAAAGGGACGATACATGCATTAACAGCAGATCTTCAAGCAGTCAAATTGTGTCCTTCACTCAACGCCAGTGCACTATATTTTAAGACAAAACTTGCCGTCCACAACTTTACAATTTACAACCTGGGAACTAATGGAGTCGCGTGTTACTGATTCGACGAGACGGCATGCGACTTAAAAGCTACTACATATGCATCATTTCTTGTAGATTATTTAACTAAATTACTGGAAAATGATCCAAAGGATGTAGTATTGTTCACAGATGGCTGCACAGCCCAGAATAGGAATAATATTGTGTCGAATGCGTTGTTGCGTTTGGCCATGGCCAAGAACATAGTTATAACTCAAAAATACTTGGAAAAGGGCCACACTCAGATGGAAGTCGATTCGGTGCACTCGGTGATCGAAAGAAAATTGAAAAATCGAGAAATATTTCTACCCTCACAATGCGCAACAATCACGAAGGAGGCCAGAAAAGTGCCGAGTCCTTACCAGGTTATTACTCCTGATCATACATTTTTTAAAAACTTTGCTCATAAAGATCACCTCTTCATTTCATTTATGATTCAATAAGACCTGGTCGTGGGGCGGGTGATCGTGTCGTCATGGACATAAGGGCCCTAAGATACAGTCCTAGTGGGACAATTGATTTTAAACTCCACTTTGTAGACGATTTTGTTCCTTTACCTAGGAGACCAAAAAAGATATTATCTGACTCTTTAATTGATTGCGTAGGTCCATTGTATGAATCCAGACAACCAATATCCAAAACAAAGTATGATCACCTACAGGAATTGAAGAGTGTCATACCTAAAGACTGTCATAGTTTTTATGATAATTTACCTTTTAAATAATATTCCTAATAACCAAGATCTTAAATGCTGTGATTATTAATCGTTTTAATGTGTAAATAAATTTAAGAACTAAGATAATAGAAGTACTTCTACGTCTAAGATAATAAGAATATAAGAGCATCCAGGTGTAATGATTGCCATATTTAATTGTTAAAGCTTTTAATATAAAAAAATCGTATTCGTCCAAGAAACTAATTAACAAAGATTGAAATGCTGGGATTTTAGAAGATCGAGGAGGCTGATTAGTTTATTATTCTTAATTAAGTGAACGTAATTGTTTTAATGTAATTAGAGAAATTCAGGGATTGTGTGATTAAATTGATATCTAGAGTAAGAGTTATTGTTTTTTTTTTCTAAGAAGATGTATAATTTTGTATGTTTTTTTCTACTATAATATATCATAATAAATTCAAATTAATAATATAATATGTATTTTATTTTAAGCCCGCGTATCTCCTAAAAGTATAGTATTTAAATGTAATTTGCTGGTACAAAACCGCGTAAGTGACTTTACACGAAATCTAAACAAATTTCTAGTACATTTACGTTAAATTTCTATAAAATAAGTAACAAAGAAGCTGCTATAAAGTTCAGTCGGTAATATAATTATAAATTACCAAGTTATTAAGTTTTTTCTTCTTCCTGTAAAATTCTAAAAATGTAGATACGCGGTATTTACAAACTGCTCTTCCGCGGTTTTGCACGCGCAGCGACGATATGCTGGTTTATATTATAGTTTTTAAGAATGTCTTGGAGATGCGTGGTCACATTATTATTCAATAGAGTGTTAATGTTAATATCTCCCACAATAACAATTTTTTGTTTCGGATATTTGAACAAAAGTTTACTAAGTAATAATTCAAAATTGTCAAAAAACGTTTCAATATGCCTTTTTTTGTGGCGGTTGCGGCTCGGTAGACACAAACAATTATAACGTTTTGTAGAGGAATCGATACGGAGCAGCACTCAAAATGAATATTAGTTGTATTGTTATCATTACAAATGGAATTTATTTTATATGCTATCCCTTTCTTAACTAACCACCTCTGCCACCTCTTTTTAATTCCTTGAATAATGCGCTACAAGCACGTAATTATGAATATTGATATTATTTCCTCTCCGTTTATTATAAAAGTCTCGGTGAAACATAGCACATCAGGGCATAAATCACACTCAAGTTCCGATAGCGTTATCTCGATAAGTTCCTTTTTTCATAGCAGGCCTTGAATATTTTGATATAAAATAACAAATTTATATAAATTTCTATTAGGCACGAAAACAATCCTGTACGTTCTTGTTAGGCGATTTTGTAACAATGTTGGAAACGTTTCTTAAGCTGGGAAAGTAAAACGGTATTGTGCCCTTTTTAGGTAATGGAGTATTATTTTTTTCGACGGATAAATTATTTCAAATACAACTTTTACACTTGAGATTATTTCTTAATTTTGGTCCATTTAATATTTATATAAAGCTACCGATCCTGAAACTCCTTCAAAGTTTCATTTTCCGACCAACTTTAAAAGTTATAATAAAGAAAGAGAAGAAGACTCTCAATAAAGCAGAAGACGCAGGCATTTAAAAAAAATTGTGTACTTAATCGAGAAATCGTTTATCGTCAATATCTGAAATATAAAACGGGAAAAATTATTAAAAAGAAATATTAGCCCGGATTAAGAACTTTCGCTCTCACATTGAATTATTATTCATCAAAGCTTACAAATATGTAAGAAATACCTTCAATACTTGTTTACCCTCCACGCGAACACCAACAAAATAGTACCTAAAGAGGTTCGTGGGCGCTTCTGAATTGATAGCCCTTCACTCTGAAGGACCATCAGCCAAAACCCTTAACGCTGGCAGCCACAGTAGCAATCCGGCGAGTCTCCCAGTTCCTTACTCGTCGATCTAAGTCACACTACGTTGGGTTCGAGACACCCTTCGATAATGCCTACTTCAGAAACACACACGCCTCTTCTTAAAAGGTGGTTGATGCCTGAGATTACGGGTCCACGCCAGGTCCCGGTCTAGACATCAAATATGTGGACTGTATATTTTCTTCACTTTCTCTAACTTTAGGGTCAACACTGGGAATGAAACAGCGATTTTCTTGAAAATTATTAAGAAATGTGATAACTTTTTGAATCTTGATATTGAACCGGAGATTTTTTCGAACTGTATTGGAGATCTCGAACGAATTGCGAGAGAGAATGTCATCTCCTTGAGGAGGTCTTCGGGTTCGAGGAGGCCCTCTTTTCCCGGGCGTCATCGCGGGGGGACACGGCTCCCCAGGTATTGGGTGCTGCCACGCAGCTTATTGGTTGGAGTGTTGCGCACACCATCAGGCTAGGTGTTGGGAATGCTCACTCGTCCCCGGCGGCTCCCTCGCCGGGCGGTGAGCGTAAGAGTTCACATGGGAGTGGCCGCTCATCAGGTGGGCGCGCATGTAGGGGTGCCAGGTTGTGCAGGTGGGCGTGTGGCCGTTGTCTGCGCGGTCGAACTACCGTCTCGCAGTACGGGTCACAAATTCATGTATAGGCTCGATTTTAAGTTCCCTGGCTATGAGGTCATTCCTCACATAGCGCCCTGCTACTACGATCGCCCTGAGCGCTAGATTCTGCTGGGCTTGCAGCCTCTTGCCCTGTGTGGTCAATGTCAGCGCGTACCAGGCTGGCGCTGCGTAAGTCAACCGTGAGCGGACGTAGGTCTTATAAACGGATGTTTTTGTTTTTAGCGGGAGTTTGGATGCCAGTATTGGGTATAATTTCGCTCGTGCGACTTTGGCCTGGACCACAACGTGGTCGACCATAGGGGTCATTCCCAACGAGCGATCAATCTGGCATCTTAGGTAGGTGGCGGTACCTTTCCACTCTACGTCCTACCCACGGAGTCGCAAGGTTGGTAGGGTGCATCTCAGCCTGGTCGCAAAGGCGGCGGTCTTCCCGACATTGACCGCCATCTGTCCAGCCAATCTGGCAACAAGTCCAGCAGTCTCTGTAGCTTCCTTGCTGCGAGTTCTACCCGACGAGATGACGGGAAGCACGCACTGTCGTCTGCATATAACGCGAGCACAACATCGACTTCCCACTCCTCCAGGCGACCTTGGAGTGTAGGAATATCGTTGGTGTACACCGCGTACAGGTGAGGTGATAGGCAGCTGCCCTGCGGTATTCAATCGGTCGTGCTACCGAGACAGCCTCCTCGATGTTAACATAGAAGCTCCGCCCCTCCAGGAACGACGCTATTAGCCGCACAAGCATTGGTGGCAAGGTGATGTTGTTGATTAATTTGTGAAGTAGCCCTGCGTGCCACACTCTGTCGAAGGCCTTCTCCATGTCTAAGAAGACCCCCACACAGATGCGGCCGCGGTTATGCTCGGCCGCAAGATAGTGCAGCACGCGGACTAGTTGGGCTGTGGTGGAATGTGCTCTGTGGAAGCCAAATTGTTCCTCCCGCAGAGCAACGTGCGATAAGATACCATGGAGGGTAATTTTTTCAATAAGTTTGGCTATATGCGGTAATAGCGTTATGGGGCGGTAGCTAGCCGGGTACCTCCTATCCTTACCCGGCTTTGGTAGCACGACAATCTTGCCCCATTTCCAGTTTGTTAGGAAGTGGCCAGTCCTTAACACGCCGTTGAAAAGTCTGGCCACCTCCACAACTCCCCTTCCGGGCAGCTGCTTCAAGACCATGGTGGTAATGCCGTCGCAACCCGGTGCTTTGCGGTTAGGTAGGCGCATGATAGCACGCCTTACCTCCGCTGGCGAGATAAAGTCCTCGCCTCGCAGTGGTGGTGCCGGGTGCGACAGGTATTCCCGTACGCAGTTCTCCACCCTCACGGTGTGCTTCGCGTACCCCTCTGCAATGGGATTTGGCGTAAATTGTGTTTGAAGGTGCTGCGCCATCATTTCCGCCCTCTGTTGGGCGTCATACATTCTTTTTCCCGTGTTGCCCACAAGTAGGCAAACAGGAGGTGGTGTTCTAGTGAGCTGCCGGTTGAGGAGGTGTAGGGAGGCGGGTGTCTCCGAGGTTTCGTCGAATCGCCTCTCCCATGTCTCTCCCCTGTGCGCTCTAATCGCTACCGACAGCTCTACTGTTATTTGGTCGAGCTTGGTTTTGATTTGTGGGCACCTTGTTTGTGCCCACAGCTTTCTTAACTTCCGCTTCTTGGTAAGCTGAAGTTGGAGTTTGTGGGGGAGTCCCTCCCCGCGGCGCCCCGTGGAGACAGGGTGTGAGGAGAGTTCTAGTTGTTTATTAAGAGTACTGTGCAGAAGCAATGCCGCTGTCTCCACATCTTCTTGGGTGGTCATAGAGGCGCCGAGTCGGAGGTCCTCCAGTGCTTTGCGGAAGCGTGCCCAGTTCGCCCGCATTTTTGGACCTCTGGGCACTACGGCATCTGCATCGGTGTCTATGGTGAACAACAAGGGGAGTTGCTGCGTGTCCAGATCATACAGCACCTCTAGCCGTTCTATTCTGAACGGCATTTGATGGCACAATACAATGTCCAGGACATGGGGTTGATGGGTGGGATTGGAGGGGATGTGGGTGGGCTCATCTGGACCCAGTGCCTTATATCCCACTTTTCAGCGTGTTTAAAGAGTTTCTTACCGCGAGCAGGATGTTTTGCATTGAGGTCTCCGGCAATAATTGCAGGTGTTGTTGCGTTGAATATAGTGCTTAAATCCTGAGGGGCTAACGAGGTACCGGGAGGTCGGTAGGTGGCGAAGAACCTCATGTCCGTGGTTCTTCTTCTTCTTCCTCGCTTTCTTCTTTTTCTTTGGACGCTCTGTGCGCTCAATGGGATCGTTTGCCGGTACTGCCAAGGTCGCCCAGTTGTGGCGACCGTTAGCGCCGGTGTGGGTGTGGGTAGCTGTTGTTGCTGCGGCTGTTGCGGCTGCTGCGTCCGCTGCGGATGGGTATGCATTTGCGGTTGTGGTTGCAAAGTTTTACGTTGTGGTTGTGGTTGTGGGGCTCGTGCTGCTTGCGTGGGCACTGGGGGCTGTAAGACTATGCCCCTCTTGCGCGCAATACGCTGCAGCACAGGGCACTGCCTCATTTGCCGCGTGAGCCTTAGCGCAATTAGCACATTTCGGCTGTTCGTCACGCGGCTTGGGGCATTCAGATGCAGCGTGATCGCCTGCTCAGAGGACGCATTTTATGGGTCTATAACAATTATAAGACGCATGCCCGAACCCCTGGGCATCATTGGCATTGGTAAGGGCCGGCTCTACCTTGTCAGCCCTCTATTGAGATGCCGGGCATGTAGAGCAGCTCGTCTATAGCGTATAAGCGTTTTAATTTTTCTGGAGGGAGGTGATTCGTTTTTACGTGAAACCACCGTGAACAGCCTGGTATGCCTCTTTTGTGGGGAATTGAGCGTACGAACGTCATCGGGAAACCCTTCTCGATGAGGGCCTGCATGATGTCTTGTGGATCGGTATCGGCTGGGAGCCCTCTGAGCCCCACCTTCGTTGGCTGTTCATCCTGTGGAGCGTAGCAATACCACGCAAAGGTGGCATCCTGTTTGCTACGCTCAATGAGGTATCTTTGAGTGGTACGGTATTCCTTGTCGGATTGTGGCCGGAACCTGACTCCCTTCCCAAATGGGCGGGCATTCGGAGCATGGCCGAGAAGTTGATGTAGGCTTGTAAAATACCTCGCCCAATTTGGGAACATTCTACTATTATTGGTAGGTATTTTACTTGTGCTGCTACAGGCTGCTGTGGCCTTGTAGTTGTTGGAGGTGTGGGCGAAGGTGGGGCTGTTCTAGGCGCGGCAGCTATCTGTACATAGCTGTCCGGCGCCGAGGATGGTCCAGAAGTGGGTTCAAATACCATTTCCTCTTGCACTGGGGCAAGGGTGGCGTAAGATGTACTATCGGAAGGTTTCTCCCCTTCTGAGTCTTGCTCCTAGTAGTCCTGCATCTCAGATTGCATGCTGGCGGTAATGGGAGATGGTGACTCCGGTGGCAAGTTATGCCTAGTCACCAGTTGTTTTCGCGGTGGAGTAGGTGTGTCTTTCGAGGTGGAGGCAGAGGTTGAGGCGGATGCCTACTCGAATACCGAGTCCGAACCGGCCTTCAGCCTTTTCTCCTCCTGCAGATCTTCCTCTTCCAGTTCTGAGGGGGTACGTATTCGCGAGGCGATGTTCCGGCGAGGTAGTGGTGCCGGTTCGGCGATGGGTGGAGGCTCAGCTCCAATAGCGCCGAGCGTGACGCCAGTGGCCGGTGGACTCTCTTTACGCTTCGGGATTTGGCTGCATGAGGGCAGTACTCGTGACTTCTCTGGAGCTAAGAGGTCACGCTCCATGAGAGGCCTATCTAGCACGCCCTGTCCGGTGGCGCCCAGCAATCTAACCAATAATCAAACCAGCAATCGAACAATGAATCAACCCAACAATCGAATCAACAATCCATTCAACAATCGACTCAACAATCGACCCAACAATCGATCCAACAACCGACCTAGCAATCAAACTAACAATCGACCAATCAATCAATCAAACAATCGACCCGACAATTGACCCAACAATCGATCCAACAAGCGACCCAACAATCGACCCAACAATCGACCCAATAATCGACCCAAAAGTCGACCCAACAATCGACACAACAATCGAACCAACAATTGACCCAACAATCGACCCAACAATTGACCAAGCAATGTCCGTTCGGCGCGATGGGGGTGGTTCCCCTTTGTCCAACATGATGTGGGTAGTTATACACTCGGCGTCACAAAAATCGCACCTTTTTAAATTTCTACTTCAAACTACTTTTAAATCCATTTAATCTATGGTAAGTCTATGAGTATGTTATATCATTGGAAAGGTAATTAAATTTACTCATTAGAAAAAATAATGCTTATCATTTGTTTTTACCGGGAAATAAACAAAGAAGTTAATGTCCACAAGAAGAAAATTAAGATTTATTGCTACTTCAAAATTAAAAGAACATGTTTTGAAACAACCGTAAACCTAGTGTTACCACCCTTTGCCTTAATTACTGTTTCCATACGGTCTTTCATTGATCTAATCAACGTAACAATGCGTTCTTGACGAATGTTGTCCCATTCCTCAATGACAGCCTCCTCGAGTTCTTGCACTGTGGTGGGGGCAGGATCACGAGTCCGTACTCGCTGCTTTACGTCATCCCAGAGGTGCTCTATCGGGTTCATGTCTGGACTTTGCGCCGGTCACCGCATAACAGAGATCACGACATCTTGAAGATAATCACGTACAATTAATGCAGTGTGGCAGCGGGCGTTGTCATGCAATAATGTAAATCCATCGCCAACAAAACCCGCGTATGGAACCACATGCTCTTCTAGGATCTCCAATATGTATCGGTGAGCAGTCAGCGACCCTTGACCACGAGCACCTCCACTCCGGGAAACGCAGACAAGGCTTGTTTTGGCGTCGACTGACATGCCACCCCAGAACATGCATGAGCCACCCTTGAATCCAACTCTTTCTTCAATACAGGTTTGTGCAATTCGTTCCCCTTGCCTTGTGTATACTCTTCTGCGTGTATCATTGTAGAAAAGACACACTCTCGTCTCATCCGAAAAAGTACTGTCCTCCATTGGTCGATCTTCCAATCAATATGATCGTGTGCAAATTGCAATCGATCTCTGCGATGCTGTGCGGTCAATTTTGGACCAGTTGCAGGCCTATGCGCTGCAATTTTCTTTTCACTTAACCGTCTTCCGATCGTAGAGACGCTTACAGATGTTCTGCGAGCTGATCGTAGCTGCTGTTGCTGTTCTACAGCATTTGAGAATCTATTGCATAAAGATGTCGACACAATAAATCGATCGTCTCTTTGTGATGTGGAGCGCTGTCGCCCAGATCCACACCTCCGAATATAGTCAATGGTGTCCTGGAAACGTTGGAATACTCGTCGAACGGAAAAACGGGATAGATTTAGTTGCCGAGCGACATCACACTGTCGCATCCCTGACTGCAGTAGCAAAATCACTTGAGCGGCTTCACCAGCAGTGGTATCCATATTGTGGGGTTTTAAGCTTGCTTCAGAAGTTTACGTGTATCCTCTTCAACGTTTGGAAAGCGAATGACTCACATTTTACCCTGTACCGGCCCTTTTATAGCACAAAACGCACCGCAACTAGTGGTCTTTACGACACGTATTTTAGAAACAGTTATTTCAACGTCTCGTCCTCAGAAGATTTCTTAAGTTTATGAAAGAAGACAGTTGTTAATTTAAAGGTTAATAAACGCACTTTCAGTAGATACCAATAATGACTTGACTAAATGTAAACACTGAGAGCCAGACACTCGAGTAACTTTTTTTCGGGGACGTGCGATTTTTGTGATGCCGAGTGTATATCACTCACGATATAAAAACGGGTAGTTATAAAAAAGATTTAAAACGGGTAGGCATAAAATTTAAAATTTTTAGAAAAAGCGGGTAGGAATTAAAACTTTGCCCTTATTAGCTATCACACAGCTTACTCCCCTCGGCGCGTGCAACCACACCAGGTGAGACCCATGGAGGAGGCTCAGCGAGGCGCCCGCGAGCGGGGAGGGGTGTGTGAGGCACAGATGGATTTGGGCGTTCACTTCACTTTGTTAACACTTTTAAAATAAAAGTTAAAAACAAAAATGTGAGTAGTTCACACAAAAAGCAGGGCAACAAAGGTTGAGTTCTTTGTGCTCACTTACCTTATTAATCCGTCTCGGAGAATGCCAGTGACGCCACAACGCCTCACGGAGTGATCTCAACTTTCCGGCAGAGTCGTCAACTGGCAACACGTACACTTTATTCAATAATTCACGGAGCAAAATTAGGCACGTCCGTTCGCTAGCGCGGTCCGAGGCGAACTGACGAATTGCGTACGCTGATGTTTTCCGCAAGGACTACGGTGTCCTGCAGGTCTCGGGCCTCAGGGTATGCCTCCATTACCCGTGTTTTCCTCGCGGTCCACCACTATGGACCGGTACTGGGAGCCTTATTTAGGCGTTGTAGGTCTCAAAATCGGATTAGTCCATAATCGGTAAATTTTTTCGTAGTCGGACTACGAAAAAAGGAGGTTTCCGGTGAAAAGTCAAGGTTGGCCTATCTGCGGCATTGAGGGTTGTTACTCGACTCTCTAATCGATATAGAGAAGAGTTCTCTTGGATAGGGTCGCCCGTGCGGAGGGCGAGTGTGTAGCGGCGCTAGATGGCGGCGCCTACCGGGCCACAAACTCCTGGATAGTGTCGATCTTCAGGGTGGCCGCTATGACGTCATTCCGGACGTAGCGACCCGCACCGACGATGGTTCTTAACGTCAGATTTTGCTGGGCCTTCAGTCGCCGCCTCAGAGGCTCGCTCAGAAGCGCGTACCAGGCCGGAGCAGCGTACGTGATGATGGGTCTTAAGTGGTAACTTGGATGCCAGGACCGGACGGAGCATCGCCCGCGCACATCGTGCTCTGCGGACGACGAAGTCGACGTGCGCAGTCATGCGCAACGCCCGGTCGATCCGGCACCCAAGATAGGTCACGGCCTTCTCGTACGCGATCTTCTGGCCATTGAGGGTTAGCTGAGGTGGTAGGTTCCTGAGGCAGCGGGTGAGCAGAGCGGTCGTCTTACCAACGTTGACGATCATCCTCCACTCATCTAGCCATGGTGGCAGCAGGTTTGCCAGGAAAGACGCCACTAGCCGCAACACAGCAGGAGGGACACTGGTCTGTTCTTCTACTTTATAAAGTAGTCCAGAATGCCACACCCTGTCGAACGCCTTCTCGATATCGAGAAAGACGCCAAACGTAGTGCGGCCACGGTTGTACTCGGCCGCAAGCAGGTGCAGCACTCTGGACAGCTGTGTTGCTGTAGAGTGATCCCTTCTAAATCCGTGCTGCTCCGCCCAAAGTTGGAAGCACGGACGGAGGCGTCTTAGCAACAATCTTTCAAGCAGTTTAGCTATGTGTGGTAGCAGCGTGATCGGCCTGTAGCTGGCAGCTCTACGCCTGTCCTTCCCGGGTTTTGGCAAGATGATCACTTTGCCTTTCTTCCAGTCCTCCGGGGAGAGGGATGTCCGCAATATCCCATTGTAGAGTCGACCAAGCGCTACTAGGACTCTATGGGTTGCAAGAGGCGGTGCGGGCGACGACAGGAACTCCTGTACGCGACTCTCCTTTCGGGCATGAAGCTCCATGAACTCCGCACTTGCTGGGTTCGGCTCATCAAATTGCTCCTCGAAGTGCTCTCCTAGGATATCCGCTCTACCCTTGCCATCGTGACGACGTTCGCCCGCATTGTTGGTCAGCGGGCAAACGGGATGTTTGGCTTTAGTTAACTGTCGGTTCAGTTTGTAGAGCGACGCATCATGCTCTTCCGCCTTCCATATGCGTCGCTCCCAGGCATCTCCTCCGTATGCCTGGACTGCAACCGACAGTTCCTCCGATAAGGTGTTCAATTGCGTCTTGATTCTCGGGCAGCGAGTACGCGCCCAGAGCCTCCTTAACGCCCTTTTTCTCCTGATCTGCACACTTATCTGTAGCGGCAGATCGTCTTTCCTTGTTGACATCGGGACGATCGTAGAGGCAGCATTGAGGGCCTCCTGTATCGCCTTTGTCATGTTGGTAGCAGCGGCCTCTATGTCGTCTGCTTTGTTTAAGGGGTAGTGTGCTGGAGGTCTCTCCTGCAGGTGTTGATGGTAGAGCCTCCAGTCGACACGTGTCTTAACTGTTCTGGGCGGCGTAGTCACCGCCTTTAGGCCAAGGGTAATCAAGATCGGGAGGTGCTGTGAATTCAGGTCGTACAGCACCTCTACCACTATCGGGTAGTTGATGTTCCTAGAGAGCACGATGTCCAATACATCCGGACGACTCCGTGGATCTGTCGGAACGTGTGTGGGTTCATCGGGACCTAAGACGTCATAACCGTATCTTTCGGCGTCTTCAAACAGTGCATGACCCGGTGGGTTGATAACTCTAGATCTCCACGCCGGGTGTTTGGCGCTTAGGTCCCCGGCGATGATGGTCGGTGTTTCGCCTTCCATCACCGTCCGGACGTCTGAGGATCAGAATGGAGTCCCTGGCGGGCGGTATTTTGCGTAGATCCTAAGTTCCTCGCCCACCGCCTCCATTTATATACCGATAGAGCGCATCGTTTGGTACTCCGGTAGTTCGAGCTCTTGATGGACGATGTCCCTTCTCACTAGAACCGCCGTCCCTCTGTAGGCGGCCCCTTGAGAAGTGACCTCGTCCCTCCTGTAAAGATGGTAGTTAGGCAGCTTTATGTGCGTACTCGGGTTTAATTTTGTCTCTCCCAGCAAGATGACCTGTATGTCTTGTTGTTGGGCGACAGTGCGTAGTTCATGTAGCTTCTGCTGGATTCCACCCGGGTTCC